CTTGTGGTGTCAATTTCACTCAAAAGATTTCGGAACTTTTGCTCTCATCCATTTTCAAGGCATTTAGATTATTTTTGCAGATGAAATCCTTGAACCTGTAGTGAACGCTTGAAACTTGAAACATATAAGGGGACAAAGAAGCAAAGGATTTCTTTAACTTCAATTTACTTTCTGATATGTTTACTTCCATTTTAGGAAAGAATGATATGCTCCCAAAGTTCCAGTAACTTCGAATCCGGGAAGGTCTCGGACCCTCGGTCTAAGGAATCCGATATTTTATAGCTAGGCAGGTTTCCTGTGGAGGAAGCATTATCCAAATGACTCATATGGAAGGATTTGTGACTCAGATATCAAAGCCTGCATTCTTCTTATTGTTATGGAACTCGTTTTCGGCCTATCCGTTTTGCTGATGTGTTAACCTATTTCGAGTTTAGAACTGATCATGTCGTTGTTCTTCTCCAGCTGATGAGATATAAAACATATCGAAGAACAATCCGCACTATAATCATGAACACTCCTGCTGTTCCCTCGAAAGATCGGAAGGCAAAAGCAAATTTCTTCTCGAGGCATGTTTGGACGTTGGAGCTACAATTTGTTGTATAATATGTTGTATACAAAAATTCCCTTCTTCACTTAATTTTTAACTCTCGAAAGCATGTTGGTTCATCAGATTGCTAACACCGAGAAGCAGTTGTGGGCGACAATCCTCGCCAAAGGTTATTGCATTTGATGTTCGGGACTTATACCTCAAAGTCTGTTCAAGTTATGAAAGTTTCATTTTGGACGACCATGAACTGACGGAACTTCAAGACGTTGAATACTCATTGTGGAAGCTACACTATAAGCACATTGACGAGTTCCGTAAAAGAACGAAAAGCTCAGCTAATTCAGAAAGTACAAACATGCAACGGACTCGAGTGGTTCTCATAACCAATGTAGAGAAGGGTTAAGTTGTTTCTTCTAAAAGCTACCGAATTTTACAAAAAATTGATTGAGATAATCCGAAGTCATTATGGACTTCCCAATGAATCTTCGTCTTTAAAAGGGGTGGCATCGACTGTCGAACCAACAAATTGCGGAAAGGTCACTTTTTATGTCATCGGTTTTTAGTATGTCTCGGGGATCTTGCTAGATATACGGAACAAGTTGAAAAATCTAGTTTTGTCCAACATAATTGGTCAGTTGCAGCCTACTACTTGGAAGCTGCAAGTTCATGGCCAGACAGTGGAAACCCCCAAAATCAGGTATTTTAAGTGGTTTCTTATCCTCTGTCGATATCTCTTGATGAATGTGCTACATGTGTCAAGTATATAGAACTCGGTTGCGTTTGTAACATTCGATTTCCTGATTTCTATGTGTCTAACCTATCATGTTCACTTGTAGCTGGCTGTATTGGCAACATGTGGGTGATGCGTTTCTTGCTCTATACCATTGTAAGAAGTTTAGCCGTAAAAGAGCCTTTCCCGGATGCCTGGAACAATCTGATTTTACTTTTGAAAGGGTAAGACTTGTACTGTTTGCTCATGTCATGTAAATGAATTTGAACCTCTCGATACATCGAACCAACTTCTGATTTCTGCAACTGCTTTTTGTGATTTTACAGAACAGATCATCTCATTTGCATTCTCTTTCGAGTGAGGCACACTTTGATTTCTTAAAACCATTTGAAAGATGTGATCCTAATGTCAAATTACAATCGAGTGAAAAGATCTCAGAGGATGGTCCGTTGAAGGATGAAAATGATCTCTGCAGGAACGAATTTCTGGCCGCATCTTATCCGAACACTAAGTTTTTTCTTCTTAAAATCCAGGAATCCAATTATAACTGCAAATGAATAGAATTAGTTCATTTGAGATGCAGATATGTTTTAAAAGGCTCCAGATGCTACTCTTTTTCATCCAATATCACGAATATGCTTTTATGTAAATTCGGTTTAGCGCATAAGCATATAGAGTATATGAAGCTCTTTCGAGTTACTCGACTTTATGTGGAGGCTTATCACTTGCTATTTGAGTTTGTTTTCCGCTTTTAACTAAGTTCTTATGTTCTGGATGATGCGAGGCAGTTTGGAGGACTTCCCTTGTGCTTTGCATCTACCATGGGAGCTTTTGATGCGATAATGGCTTTAGATGATATAAAGCTAAGAGCAAATCTGGAGTCATATCAGCTTATGGATTCGGCTAGAACAGGACCTTTCCGAGCTCGTCATGCTGTTTCTGTTTCATTTTGCCCATAATCTAATTAATAACCCCGAAACGCAAGTGTCAAAAGATGAAAAGAATAAGCAGCATCTTGAGCTGGTACGATTTGCGTTGGCTGCTACATTCATTTTCATGGGACGTGTTGTTATAGGTGTTTGAAGACATTCATTTTCATGGGACGTGTTGTATATAGGTGTTTGAAGGCAAATACTTTGGGCTCATGTCCCCTTCTCCCCTCCATACTTGTTTTTGTCGAGTGGCTAGCGAGCATGCTCGATGAAGTTGAAGTTCATGGAGTGGATGAGAAAACTAAAAGCTCTATATCTTATTTTTTCGCTGCTTTTATCGACCTCTTGAAGCGGTTCAATGTTAGGGTTGAAATTCTGTCCGATGTAAGAACTGCATTGTGGGAAGACTATGAGTTGAGGGGCTTTGCACCATTAGCTGAAATACATCTTTCGTTGGATTTCTCATTAACTGGGATCGGAAATAAATTTTATTCGAAAGTCGATTCTGATGTTCTGATGTAACAAAGCAAAGGCATGCATCGCGTATACATGAAGCTGGAAAAGAATTGGAGACACAGATTGCAAGTGAAAACCAAAGCAGCCTTCTTGTGGATGAGGAATCCGTTGCCACAGAAGACGAAGAAGTTATTCTTTTAAAGCCTCTTACGAGATATAATTCGGCACCACTCTATGGGAAAACTCATAATGAACAAGACACAGCATCCCGAATGCAATGGAGGAAATATTCCTTCCGAGAATGTTTGCGCCATGCTACATCCCTATTAATAGCACAAAACCAGACCAATTATGCTGCTTCAGAGCTTCATTACGACATCTCGAATTTTAGGCGCAGCAAGCCTTTCAAGAAGCATGAGCCTTTTGTAAAAGATACTACAGTATTCTCGTTTTCTGAAGCCCCCATCTCGGCCGGACCACCGTCCCTTAGTTCTTGGGTTCTAGACCGAGGAAGTTTAAGCAGTACCGAAAAGGGGAGAAGTGATGCTAATAGATTGAGCTTGAGCCCTATTGCAGAAGTAGCTACTTCATCCCTGAGTGATCTCTTGATCGGTCAAACCGATGATTCTGTCACTTATTTAAGATCAGAAACTTCAACCAATTACCACTACTCCCCTCCGCATTCGGAGGATTATGTCACTTCTTCAAGTTTGGAAGCTTCAACCAGTTACCATTGCTTACCTCCTCCATATTCTGCTCCATTATTGCCTGATGATGCTGCTTGGTTTAATGCTACTAGACCTAGTATTTCCGAGATGAGGGGCTCAGAATTTATTAATAAGCCCGAGAATTTCTACAATGAATCAAGGATGAGTGGCTATCCGAACTGGTATCGTGATGACCAAGTTAACTATGGTTCTGGTATCCCGGGTTTCATGGATAAATACCCTCCGTTTAGCGGGATGACTTCTTCGGAATGGCTTCGGAGATACAGAGAAAGTCGCAATCTTGATTGTGCCAACAACCATGTGCGGCCTATCAATCATTACACTCCCGGGGCTTCTCGCATTGGTCTTTTTGATCAATACGGAGTCCCTTCTTTACCAAACCCAACAATTTACACAGAGAGTTTGGTATTGCAACAAGGGTTTCCCCGTGGCATGGAGGAACCAAGAAGGGAAAAGCCGTTCCACGGCTATCAAAGGCCAAACCCCTACGGCTGCGGTGCCATGACTGAACCTAGACCCGAGCCAAGGCCACTCTTGCAGTATCTAAAAGAGAGAGAATGGCTACTCCAGCAGGATCCAACCCTGAGAAATCCTACTTTCACGGGGAATTAGAAACTTCAAAGCTCCCTTTGGACATACAATATGTAAAGAAGTTGAAAATATGTACGTATGGTTTTAGTAGGACGTAGGGAGGGTCATGGGATCCGAATCCGAGGAGTTCCGACCCGATCGGGTCGTTTTTTTAATTTGGGTCGGGTCGGATTTTTAAAGGTGATGTTCGGGTCGGATTTGAGTTTAGGGTGAAAATACTTGACCCGACTCAATCCCGAAAAAATAGTTTGACCTTATATATTTAGGAATAATTACAATAATACTTATATATATATTATTTTTAATTAAATTATTATTATTTTTGAATAAAAATAATATTTTTTATTATTTTGGCTCGGATCAAATCGAGTTCGGATTTTATCTTAAAATATCAGGTCGGGTTGGCCGAAACCCGACTCATGCTCATCTCTAGTAAGATGTCTGAAAGTGAGGTTTTGTCCACAATTATTATAGATATTAGGTTGTGTTATAATATTAAAACACAATGATTATTGATAAACAAATAAACGTTATCGAAAAAAAGAAAGAAAAAATATCAATATTTTCAAAGGAGAATTTTACTAATAAAAACTTAATTATTAATCTTGATATTTAGTATCTCCCTTGACTATAAATAAAAACTAAATAGAGTATAAATCTATTTTAAGAAAATTTTCTACTTTTAATCAAATTAAATTTCTTACTACCTCAAATTTATATATTAATTAATTTATATTACTTTAAGTTCAAGTTCAATTCTAAAAAGTTTGATTTTTATGGGACGATATATGAGTAAGTCTCGAAGATCATTTTATTTACTTTAGCCTTGAGAAAAAAAATATTTTTCATTCAACCCCATTCCGTAAATTTTAATAAAAAACTTGCCTCTCCGAATCCGAAAGAAAAAAATATATATGTATGATCCCATCCAACCGGTTTGGGTAATTTTTAACTACCAAAACCGGGTAACCCGGTGAAATTTTCCGTGGCTTAATTCTAATAACAAGAATTTTAGGGATTTTGGCTCCAGCTCTGTCGAGTGAAGTTTCTCCCTATGCTTCTCGAGGGCCGAGTCTAAAAAATTCAAGATCTTAAGATCCAAGACGAAACTCAAATGGTAAAGAAACAGTCAGCAGGAGGCGATATATCTTCAGCACAAGCAGTTTTACTTGGGGCTTTAGCTCCTGGTGTCAACGTCGGTTCAATTCTCTTCTCAATGATCTATTATACATGATATTTGCAGCCATTTTTATGTAGTTTGGATCTTTTTGTTGTTTGGATTTCAGGGTCCAACATGGAATACACTAAAATCAACGTTTCTGATGCTGGGTATTTGTCTTGCTGTTATGCTGGGTTTAGCTTTCTCCTCTTGTGACTCTTCTTTGGTTCTCCATGTTGCTTTCCTCGTTCTGATTGCTGTTGCCCTCTTCTTGCTTCTTAATTGGTACTATATCTTAATTCTTTGCTAAGTTTTGACCCAGTCATTATAAGATTTTCTAGCTTTTTACTAATTTTGGAGTTGCGTTATGTGTTATTCATGCTTTGATCATTGCGTGAAAGTTATGTTACTCAGATCCAGATTCATGAGTATGGTTAATTTTTTTTAAGGTTTTTCATGCATTTGAAAGATCCATGAAGATCGAATCTAGTATTCATGTGTCCGACACGGATGCTTCGAATAAAATATAACTATGAACAACATAGCTTGAAAGAAAACCAGGGGACTGTATGGTCATTAGACAAACTTTCTATGTTAGATCTGAGAGCATACTTGGAGAAACAGGGTTGTTGTACCTCCGTCAAACGTTCCCCGCGTGCAATATTTGTACCTGCATCTCAAAGCCTCTGGAGAACCTCTCCATTGGTAGTATTCTGGAAGAGCACCTCCAGATAAAGGACTTCGAATATCTAACATCCCTCGGGAAGCCGTAACTTGTTGACATGAACTCTGACAGGCCCACGTGACCTACATAAGCCAAATCTATCACCGGCTGACTATATCCACCTAGCTTGCTACACCAGCTCTAAGAGTCACGGTAAAACATCTCGATCAAAACAGAGAGAAGTGATGGAATCACCTCAACCTCATTCATCTCTTTTCTATAGACATAATGCTTTGACACTGGTCAATGGCCGATCCATCATCGATTGCGATTCTCTGCCCAAATTAGGAGGGTGAACCGTCTGTAGCCGTCATGACCCAATTGTTCCCATCAGCAAGTTTATAGTGTTTTGTCTTAAACACGATGAATATTGTAGCTTACAACATTTTGAGAGTTTATATTATTCTATATTAACTATGCCAACTTAGAGGAATTTTGAGTGTTTTGTCTTAAACATGATGAATATTGTAGCTTAAAACATTTATAATGCTCTCTGTCTCTTGTCATGTAATCTGTCATATTGGATTTCAGTTAGGGCTGAACCTGCAATTGCTCACACCATTACCTGTTATTTTAGAACATAACATGGTTTAGATAACAAGGATAGATTTGGGGCTCAAATTTAGTTTCGAAGATGTCGATTCTTGCATGCTTGTTCTGTTCTTTTCTCAGTTTTAGAACAATATAGTGGAGGGATGCAACCTGAAGTGATTTGTTTCTCTTTTGATGATCTTTATGCAAGTGAGTAATTACATATGCATGGGGATGGTGATTCGAAGCAGGGAAACTGAATCTCTAATCATTTTTTCTAGTTGGAATGTTGCTGATTGGATTACTTATGCAGGTTCCTTGAACAGACCGGTTTGGTTTCTGTCGAACATCAAATGCAAGAGATGGACTTAATACCGAAAGATCGTACGAGATAATCTGCAAGAATCAGTTTAACAGGATGAACTGATTTCCTTTTTCTTAACATTTGAATAGTTCAAATGAAGATGTCATCAAATACAATAAAAGGAAGAGGCTAAGAGGGTATATTTCTTTTTCTTTCCTGGGAAATCACATCGGAGATGTGTGATCGTTGGTCCCTCTTTGCTTCCTTCTCCTTATGTTTGCTCTTCCTGCGCTTTATGAAGCAGAAGCATGAGCACCATGGGAGCTGAAGCAAAAACTTCATATTTCATGTATCAATTATGGATGATTCATTTGCAAAAACTGAGATTCATATAGAACTCCATTCTTGAGTTCACTTAATGGTAATTTAAGATTATTCTTCTGTTCATTTCTGCCTTTGGTTGCCGTTACTTTTTCTCCATGTCATGGATAGGAATATTCCAGGGATTGTCTCAGGAAAGGCGGGTTAATATACGGTTAATATACGGCGTTACCGGATATATTAAAAGATATTTAATAAATTCGGTTTAGCGCTACCGGAAATGTTGACTAATAATAATGTAGTAGGTCTAAGTCATGAAGAAATATTAAAAAATTGTGCAACCGACAAACTTAACTTGTCGGTTCGTGTCGATCCAAATTAAAAATGTGTCGATCCAAAACGATATAACAGGTAAAACTATGACAAAACCGGTATTGAAATGATAAAACCGGTAAAGCGCTACCGGATACATTTAAAGTGTCGGTACTTTAATATAAGGATCGACACTTCGTGAATTTAAAAGAGAAGCAATTTTAAATCCTATAAAGTGTCGATACTTTTAAAAAATGTATCGATCCAAAACGATATACCATGTAAAAATATGATAAAACCGGTATCAAAATGATAAAATCGGTAAAACGTTACCAGATATATTGAAAGTGTCGATACTTTATATAAGGATCGACACTTTGTGAATTTAAAAGAGAAGCAGTTTTAGCGCCTATAATGTGTCGATACTTAAAAAAAATATATCGATCCACAACGATAACAAGTAAAATATGATAAAACCGGTACCAAAATGATAAACCTAAAACGATACCGGATATATTGAAAGTGTCGATACTTTCGTAAGTACGTGTAATAAATTATCGACACTTTCAAAGAAATAGGTAAATATCCTTTCGAAAGTATCGACACCTGACATAAAGTATCGACACTTTTGTATTTGTATCGATTAAATATAAATAACATATTCGATGAAAATATAAATGCCATATCTAAATATCCTCTGAAAATAGATAAAACGGACGAGTTTTTGAAATCGAAGCGTAATTGTTGCTGCATATCAGAAGGCGTTTCTAAAGCGAAGTTTGTTTGTTTGTTGCTGCAGTCGAATCGAAAAGTATGTTGTCGAAACCCTAGTTTTTAATTATTACAGTAATAGGAAATAGGGTTTTTATGTGTTGTTTGGGGTTTTAGAGTAAAGAAGCATTTGAGAAAGATTACAGGTAGAAAGTGATATTCAAGGTAAAATATAAATGCCAATACTTTTATTAAATATTATAGGTAAAAAATGATATTATAGGTTGTATAAATGTGCCGACACATTTTGTAGTGGCCATTCCAATTCTTTTGAAGAAAACCGTTTTACCACAAGAGTAGTTATCTATATTTGTATATTGAATAAAGTGTACGTAACAAGTATTTGATTTGATTTGCGTAAACTGATATATGAAGGAAAAATGGAGTCAATGGGTGGAAAAATTGTTGGTGGCGCAGATGACTTTGAAATTGAGGCCGAGACTCGAAAGCAACCAAAGGGTGGATATATGTACTTCTAGTAAGTATCAATGTATTTTTGTTATTATTGTTGAAATGGTAATTGGATTAAAGTATCGATAAACTTTAAATTGATTACAAATTTTAAATGTTGACAGTATGGCCGAATGCAAAAGGATGAAGGAAGATGGCACACAGAGCGGTTCGGTATGTAAAATGAAATTGACATTGAGTAGTATTTAGTGTTAATGTATTGATTAAGAAACGTTTATGTTTAATATTAGGTGACAAAGATGTGAGGTCCAAATGGATTCAATGAGTGATGCTGAAAAGGAACCTTACATCACACAGTCAAGGAATGATAGTAAAGAATACAAAGAACAGAGGAAAGCACATGAAAATAAAGTATTCATTAAACTTGTAAATACGTTGATACAAAATATATAAGAACTATACCATTATATATTGTTAAAAAATGTAGGAAGTGTCGACAAGATGCAGCATTAAAAGGGTGAATTCATTAATTAAACACCTTAAGGAGAAGGGCCAGTTGAATGTGCTGGGAGAAATAGGTTTTGGATCGTTGGTAGGAGTAAGGGATCGACCTATTCGAAGGGAATTGTGTCGATCCTTGATGGCGCAATTTGATGTCAAACAATGTATTGCTAAGTATGGTGATTTTTCATTTCCTCTCGGGATCCCATGTGCTGCAGCCGTATTGGGGGTAGAAAATGAAGGCAAAAGTGTTGTAGAAGTCTGTAAGAGTAAGGACTGGAAAGCACTTGGCTCCAAATATGGTTTGAAGCAGAAGGTGACATATGCTGAAATTGAAGAGGAAATAAAAAGTGGATCTTACGTTGGGGATGAGCTGAAGGCCAGAGTTCTATTATACCTTGTCGGTATCTTTCTTTGTCCAACGGGTCATACGTCAACGAACAAGGAACATATGAAGCTCATTTGCGATGAAGGCTTGAAGGTGAATTCAATTGGGCTGAATATCCATTTGAGATTGATTGAATCAATAATCACCTTTAAAAAGGGCAGCCATAGATACCTCAAAGGGTGCATAGCAATCTTAGAGGTAAATGAGTTGAAGAACTTTTTTGTGTTTTTATATAAAAATATAAATTTTATTATAAATGCAGGTTGCACTGTTCGATTTTTGGTCGGGCTGTGAGGTAGTGTCGGCTTATGAAAGAATCGGAGTGGCACGCATCCGTGCATGGGGGAAGGAAGAGGTGGTTAGAGTGATGGTGAAGTTGAAGTTGGATAGAGCGAAGAAGCAAGAAAGGGTAATAAATGTAATTAAATAATATTAAGAATATAATCAATGTTTTAATATTGTAATTTAATTTTGAAGGTTATTGGCAAGGATGTAGAGGAGGCAGTGGAGGCAGAGGAGAAGAAAGGAGAGATGGTTGTATTGGGGGATGACGGTGAGTGGGACGACGGTGAGGGAAAACATAGTAACTTCGACATTTTGATGTCTGAATTGGCTGATATCAAAAAAATCCAATTTGATATCATGCAAAGACAATCAAGAGTTGAAGAGAAACTTGATAGAGTCGAAGAGAAACTTGAGAGAGTCGAAGATACACTTGAGAGGCATAAGGGGGTAGTGGAAGGAAAAATAGATGGAGTGGTGAAAGAAGTAGAGGTGTTGAGGGGTGAAGTGGTGAAAGAAGTTGGGTGTTAAGGGGTGATATTAAGATGGACGGGTGAAAAATTTGAGGGAGTGGTGAAGGAGGTTGTGGAATTGAGGAGTGAACTTACGGGGGTGAATGGGGTGGTTGATAATACTTGGATGAAGGAGATCAATTGAAGGGTGAAATAAAAGATGAGAGCTATGTAGAAAAAAATACGATGAACTGAAAAAATATGAAGAAGAAAAGAGGGAGGAGGAAGAATAAGAGATGGAAGAAATGAGGAGGAAGGAAGTCGATGTCGTTTATACACCGAAGAGTGTTATAACAGCAGATTTGGATTCGGAATGTCCTGCACCCCAGAAGAAGAAGCAGAAGGTAAGTTGAATAAAATAAAAACTTAATTTGATTTTTATTATGTTGTTGTGATAAAAAATTGTATGCAAAATTGTAGGTTGAAAAAGCGGATATTCCAAGCGGAATTGATGACATTGAAGCTGCAATTTGTGATTATTTATGGAATAGTGAGTTAGAATCGAAGTAAGTGTATACGACGTTGCAACGTTGAAGCCTACGGAATGGGTTGGCGGTGTGGTAAGTAGAAAGTAGAAAATGTTAAAACTTATTGAATATGTTCTGATTGTGTAATTAATTTTGTTAGGTTATTGATTTGGTCGCCTGGACAGTATGCTACGATTCTCAGAAGTCACTCCGGAGGATTGGCTACCTTCCATACCACTTAGCGGTGAGTTAAATTAATAAATGGAGATAAGTAGTGTTATAGACGGTAAATTAATAATGTTTGTTGCGTAATTGCAGCAGCAGGCGTTGGATGCCAACAACAAAGAAAGTGTTGAGAGTATTGCTACCTTCTGGGGTCCCATATTGAATAACTATGTGAAATTCATCGACTGTGAGAAGGTAAGACACCATACCAATTGCAAATGATGTTTTCGGATATAGAATGTTGAATTTTGTCAAATTGGGTGTGAAATTTTGTTGCAGATCATGATCACAATAAACTACCATAATTCACATTGGTATCTGTTGGTGTTGGATATGGTAGATCGTGTTGCAACAATATATGATAGTATGTTTACAACTGAAGCAGCTAAACAGAGAGTGAAGGATGCTAAGAGATTGGTATGTATGTATGTATAAAAGGACATTATGTAAATTATAATGCATAATTTTTTTGGATCATAACTTCTTCTATTTTAATGCATATTAAAATATTAGATTTTTATAATAAGAAACGCATTTGGGTTGAATCCTGTGGATCTCTAGGAAAGTATCCCTTGAAAAATTTCAAATTTGTGGAGCATAAGAAGAATAAGCAATTGAATGGGTATGAGATGTTATCACAAATAGAAAGCTTAATTTATGCAGTATTCATCATAATTGACATGTGTGGTTTTCAAATTTTGTAACAGACATGATTGCGGCATGTATGTGATGATGTGGATGGAATCGATCGGTTCTACAGGGGCAACTGGTGATTTTGTAAGTGGAAAGAAAAATTCGTTTGTGGTAAAATTGTTAAAAGTCGTAGATTGAATGCTGTAGTTTACAATACTTAACGTTCTGACAATTTGAATATAGGTTGTTGAAGAGTGGGATCGATCGCGAATATTAAACGATCTCGTAAGCCACAATCAAAATCAACGAAGACAGGAGATAACAAAAGCTGCCATGATACATAAGAATAACAAAAGGATGCAATGATGTAATGTAGGGTTAATTTTGTATAAGATTTATAATTTTGTATACGATTTATAATTTTGTATGTGAATATAATTATGAATGAGATGAGAAAAGTTAGCAGTATGTTGTTGTACATGTTTCTTATACACATTAAGGGTCATGTTGATACTTACGATATATGGAGATTGTTGTCTGTATTATACCAAATGTCATCATAATTGTCATCATGTGCGAGAATGAATGG